CGGCTCCGGCTCCGGCCCCAGCAACGCCAGATGCCGCCTCCTCCTCCTCCTCCTCCTCCTCCTCCTCCTCCTCCGCCGCCGCCCCCGAGCCGCGGGCCCCTCCCCCCTCCGGGCCCCTCCCCCTCCTCCCGGGCCCGGGCCGGATCCCGGGAATTCGGGACGAGACTCCACCCCGCTCCTTCCTCTGCGCTTCTTGGGACTTGTAGTTCTGGGCACGTCTTCCTGCCCACGGACCCGCCTGCCCTCCGCCTGCCCTCCTCCTGCCCCTCCCGGGGGCGCAGGCGGGCCGGGAATATCCCCGGGGCCACGATGCTGAGCGCATCCCACGTGGCCGCGGTCCCTCCTCTCGTCTTCGCTTGGCCGTGTCCTGCGGCTTCTCCGAACCGAGCAGCCCCTCGGCTTTTCGGACGGGGCCGGGGTGCGGGGAAAGCGGGCGGGCGGGCGGCTTGGGTCGAGGGACACTGGGTGCGTCTGATCGGTTCCTACTTATTGTTTTTTCAGTCTTTGGAGGCTGATTGAGAATCCGGGTGTGGAAAGAGGAGTAGGACGAGTCGTGGTTTAGGGGGACATGGTCTACCTCTCCCTTTGCCCCTCTGAAGCTTCTTAGACAAAGCTGGAAAAGTGCTAGCTTTTCATTTGTGACCGATGATTTCATCCGTGAATTCGAACTCCAGCCAGGAAGCTCCCCCCAATGACTTAACAGTTCTATAAAGCTGCCTAGGACACCAAAGAGTTAAGTGACTCACCCTGGGTCACACGGTCGGCATAGGGGTCAGGACTGGAGCCCAGGTCTTTCTGACTCCAAGGCCACCTCTCCATCCTCTGTCCCATATTGGCATAACAGTTCACATTTGTTTGACCCTTTTATTAATAGTAATAGCTGCCATTTATATCGGATTTTAGGGTTTGCAAAGTGCTTTGCATAAAATACCTCGAGTTTACGTGGGACCCTGGTGCTCCTTATCAAATACAGTGTGTCCTTCAGCTGTGGTCCAAGCACAGCAGGGCTGTCAGCTCACTATTCCTGGAAGATAGACCTTCCCTAATGCAGCTCAAGATAAAATCAACCACTGGCCAAGCGCTGCTGGAGGAGTTAGGAGTTACTTCTAGCTTTTCAGAAACAATGTGCAATTATGCAGTGAATGACTGAATGTTTGTACTCTTGGACTCAGCGACCCTGCTCCTAGAGCTTCCTGAAATGGACTCCCATAACTTCCTCTATTATGGGGAAGGGTGGTAGGGAGAGACGTGGCTATATAAACTATTCCTAACAGTACTATTTGTAAAAGCAAAACAACACAAAAACTCAACACAGTCTGTATGTCAATAGTTTGGTAGGTGGCTAAACATCTTATGAAATCTGAATATAATGGAATATATCCAAAGTCCTGATGAATATGCAGAATACAAAGACATATGGATAGACTTCTATGAAATGGCACAGGGAAAAAGCAGAAGCCAAGCCAAGCCCAGTACCACCCTGCAGTGGAGACAGACAAGTTCTTTTTATTACTCATTGGGGGAGGGAGGAAGACGATGCAGAGTAACAGGAGCTGTAGGGCACTCTGAGTTGGCGAAAATAGGTGGTGCACCTGGTGTGGCCCCCCCCACCTCTGCTTGAATGTGGGCTAGTCCAAACCTTTCTGCCTCCCTCCAGAAAGAAATCAGAATCAGTTTGATTTGATCAGGGCAGCCTGAGGTGGAAGGAGTGATGGCTGATGGAGAAAAGATCACTGACTTGGGAATCAAAGGATTTGGGTTAAAACCCTTCACTACCCATGTGATCTTCAGCCAGTCTTCCCATGTCGTGGTTTTGGTTTCCTCATCTATAGAATAAAAATGTTGAACTAGATGTCCTGTGAGGTCCTTTGAGCACCAGGAGCCTAGGAGATCCCAGGACCCATGTCTAAGTCACACCTCACTCGTTTTATTGACTTGTGACCTCAGACAAGTCTAAATTCTCTGAACTTTTAAAACTTAACAACTAAAGTATTTAAGTGGCAGCTCGGTGGATAGAACACCAGGCCTGGAGCCAGGAACATCTGAGTTCAGATCTGGCCTCAGGCATTTACTTAACTAGGCAAGTAACTTAACTCTGCCTCAGTTTCTTCATCTGTTAAATAAGCTAGAGAAGGAAATGGCAAACCACTGCAGTATCTTTGCCAAGAATACCCCAAATGGGGTCACTTAGAGTCAAACATGACTGAAATGACTGAACAACAACAAAAAAGTATAGTTGGGTTGTGCTATGCAGGAAATCAGAATTTTCCTTGAAGAATTGATAGAGAAATATATCTGTGGCACTCCCTCTGGACTCATCCTACTTACGCTGAAGTAGCAGGGTAGGTTCTCAGAGGGGAGAATACCACTGCTCCCCTTCAGGGCTCCAAGGTTAACTCTGAGGGGTGTAGTTTCTAATACTATCGCTTATGATCCCCCCGTCTGCTTTGCTCTACAATATCCATCAACCAGTTGATAGCAATTAGTTTTTACAAGATGTACTGAGAAGGTATAGGAAGGACAGGAATTACAAAACATTCCCCCAACTGGGAGTTTGTCTCTTCTTTGAACATTCACAAAGTCCCTGGGGATAGGGGGACTACATTCAAAGCACAGAAGTGGTAAGGGGCACGTGTAAGGAAGCCATGGGGCCAAGGGTTACCTGGCTAATCCTGGCCATGGGAAGTTCTTTTCTCTTTTCCGGGAGTTCCAGCCAATTTTACTTTGGGGCAAGTCTTCACCAGTGGACAGGCTGCTTCCCTGCTCAGCTTGACTGACTGTTTACAGGGTAAGGTGTCTCATCTAGTCCACTACTAGATTAATGGGGTCTTTTAAATGGCTCTGAGTGATTCCATCTCAGAAGAATTCTTCACTTAAGACCAGGAAAAAATAAACACAAATGAAACTGTGGCACCATCCACTCAGGGACACAGAATATCCAGGTGAGATACATGTCAACTGGTGCCCTTTCCTCACTCCGTGGCTCACAGTAATTCTCCTGACTCAAAAGCCACTAAGAAAGAGAGGGTGGTATAATCTGCTTGACCCCTTTTGTTTATATACTCAGTTCTGGCTCAGCCACCTCTGAAGTCAGTTTGGAGGCTTTTCATCCCAGAGGTTGGATTGGAACCAGGCGAGAATGTCTGCCCTTCGTCCAAGGACTGGA